CTCTCACCCTTTCTCTTTCTCCTGGTCATCGACTGGATCATGAAGACGTCAACATCTGGAGAAAATCACGGGATACAGTGGACAGGCAGGATGCAACTTGACGATCTAGACTTCGCGGATGATCTGGCTCTTCTATCACAAACGCAACAACAAATGCAGGAGAAAACGACCAGTGTAGCAGAAGCCTCAGCAGCAGTAGGTCTCAATATAAACAAAGAGAAAAGCAAGACTCTCCGATGCAATACAATATGCACCAATCAAATTGCACTTGACGGGGAAGCTTTGGAGGATGTGGAAAACTTTACATATCTGGGCAGCATCATCGATGATCACGGTGGATCAGATGCAGATGTGAGGGCGCGGATCGGCAAAGCAAGAGCAGCATACTTACAACTGAAAAACATCTTTAGCTCAAAACAATTGTCAACGAACACCAAGGTTAGAATTTTCAATACAAATGTGAAGACAGTTCTACTGTATGGGGCGGAGACGTGGAGAACTACGAAAGCCATTATCCAGAATATACAAGTGTTTATTAACGGTTGTCTACGCAAGATACTTCGGATCAGATGGCCAGACATTATCAGCAACAAGTTACTGTGGGAGACAACAAACCAGATTCCAGCGGAGGAAAAAATCAGGAGGAAGCGCTGGAAGTTGATGGGGCACACTTTGAGGAAATCAGCTAATTGTGTCACAAGACATGCTCTCACATGGAATCCTGAAGGTCAAAGGAGAAGAGGAAGACCAAAGAACACATTACGCCGAGAAATAGAGACAGACATGAGAAGAATGAACAAGAACTGAATAGAACTAGAAAAGAAGGCCCAAGACAGAGTGGGTCGGAGAAAGCTGGTCGGCGGCCTATGCTCCATTGGGAGTAACAGCCGTAAGTAAGTAAGTGGAAGCTGGTTTGTCCTCTCTCACAGAAGGCTGTTGCTGATAGTATCCGGCCAATGAATATCGAGTATTTTGCGTGGACAACTGTTTATAAATACCTGTATCTTCTTGACGATTGATGTAGTAGTTCTCCACGTTTCAGCTCCGTACAGTAGGATTGTCTTGATGTTCTTATTGAAGATTCTCACTTTGAAGTTAGTTGACAGTTGTTTTGAATTACATATGTTCTTCGATTGTAGAAATGATACCCTTGCTTTACCAATCCTCTCCTTTACATCTGCATGAAGTCGAACATGCTTGGGAAAAACTTTTACCCTGACTTTCTAATCTTAATTGAATGCAAAATAATTAGTTTTTTCGGCTCTTATCTTGAATCATTTATATTGTGACCAACTTTCTATGCAACTTTTAATCACTTGTTGTTGTTATACTCTTTGATGTATCTTTTTAAAATATGTTTATGCCAGACTATTCTGAAATATTATATTTGTCGTTTATCCAGCTATCAAATAATATATGCGTAAACTACTACTTTGCGGATGGTTAGAAGTAAACCAAGCAATTTCAACTATGTCATTTATTCTCTAACCAGTTGCTAATATATTCTTTCCGATTGACATCTTAGTCGGAACCGACTCCCTAGATTTTCTTGAACACACTATTGATGCTCAAGGCATTCACCCCCTGAAAGGCAGATTGACGGTCATTTTAGATTAGACAGAACCGACCGCGGTCAGGCATTTACGCATATTTAACGGCCTGATCACTCTCTATCCATGCCTTTCACCGTGTTGCGCTTCACGCATAAAGCAATTAACAAAACAACTTAGTGGAAATGAAAATTTCATCGATTTAGACAACAGCGCGAAAAGCATCCTCCACAATGAAGGAAATCATCACGAAAACAAATATGCTCGCACGGCAGGACGTCGAAGCACGCACTAATATCGTAATGAACGCATCTGACCCAGCGATCGGAGGAGTCTCACAACAATGGGTCAACCACACATGGCAATCTTTGGCATTCTTCTCGAGACGGTTGCAAGACACTGATTCTATGTATAGCGCTTTCGTAGTGTATTGCTCTGTACTGCACTTTCACCACCCAGCAGAAAGGCGGGAATTCACTCTGTTCTCTGACCACATATCTATCACCTCTCTTGGCTCATCCTAAGACAAATATTCCCCTCGAGAGTCTTGACAACTCGACAACTCACAGTTTACTTCAGATATACAACACGATTCTGAGGCAAATAATGCAGTTGCAAACGCTCTACATCGTATAACCTTTTTGAACGGTTTCAGAGGGATCGAGTAACTCACGACAACCCTGGAACCAAGAATCAAACAGATGGTAATAGGCAAGAAAACTACTATGTGACACATTCATAAGTGCGGATCGCTCAACAGTGCCGAAACATTGTCGACTCAACGTTTTCGATACGTTGCACAGACTCTCATGCAGGTACTCCAGCAACCATCAAAGTCAAAGCATAACAACTTTATTGACCTGGTATGAATAAAGACGTGAGAGAGTGGGAACGCTTTTGTGTAGGCTACCAGAAATCTAAGGTGATTAGACATAAATGCCCCTGAGGCTCTTTCACAACTCCCAGTACTCGTCTCGACTATGTCCATCTTGGTTTGGCAGGACCCTTACCAGATTCAAATGGATGCTCTCACCTCTGAACGTGTGCAGACCGTTTCACGCGATGGTGAGAAACAGTGCCTATTTAAAACATTAGTACTGAAACAGTAGCTCGCGCCTTAGCCAAACGATGGATAGCATACTACGACTGTCCCTCAACTACCACTATAGACTGTAGAGGCCAGTTTGAGTCTGAACTCCTCTTTTGTCTTACTACGCCGCTTGGAATCATACGACCGCCTACCACCCACAAGCAAACGGGTTGGTGGAAAGATTACACCGACAGCCAAAAGTTTCACTCTCAGCTGCAAATGCATCGCAGTGGACCGTCGCTCCTCCACTCGTGTTACTTAACACTCACAATGCAGCGACAGCTGATGTTGGACATACTACAGCACAAATCGTTTACGGGACGATACTCCAACTTCCGGGAGAATTCACTGATACTCCGTCTTCAATGACTATAAATATAAACTCTTGCACAAGCAGGCTTACAAACACCATGCTTACTGTGATTTCCAAACATAGTATATTCAGTTGAGTAAATCTAGTTCTAGCTGCCTAAACGTAACCTACTTCGGGAATTCTTAGTTAACATAGTTGGAATACCGCTAATTGTAGCAATGTGATAGATGTAAGGCGGGTGGATGGAAAGATTTATATTAAATGCCAGCATTGCTGTTCATTTTTCTTCATTATTTTTTGTTTGAGAGTCAATTTACACGCAAACGGGTCCCACAAGAAGTTATATCAAGATAAAATCCACACCCAGAAGTTCTTCAGTAAAGAAGATATTACTTTCAAACTTAACTTAGTATTGTGTTCTAATGACGCTACAAGTATTCGGAGTTTGACGACATCCTTACACGTGACACTTTGATAATCGAAGTATGCCAACTCAGTCAAATCAGAAGTCAGGAATGACCGAGTTCGAGGTTGTACTTGTAAGGCCATCGATATTCCGAGAAGCGTTTGATCTTAGCTAGATAAAAGTTGCAAAGGATGCATATACACTCGTGATCTGGTGTGGATGTATTATCGATAGCCTTCATATAGGTGTGTTCAGTAAAACTAATGAGGTCAGATCAATGTCGAGGACTTACCAAATTGTTTATTTAGGAGATTTGTTTGCGGCTACAGTTCGATCTGGATACTGGATTCACGAGGCATTAGAAAATGCATGTTTCTTAAACGGCGTGGTGTTGTATATCTTACCAGCGCTCGAATATGTTTTTAACATCAAATAATTTATATACTGTTGACTTAATATTTCGACAAACTTCATTTTCACTACAAATAAAATAAGCACTATTTAAATGTAAGCAAACCATTCATGTGAAAGCTTGAATTTGTAGTGAAGTGCTTCGTTAATCGGTCGTCTTGATAACTGTTATTATAACAATCTGAACGGTGTATAATATCAGAAGACAAAGGGAAGCAGCAACTACATTTTTATTGATAAATAACATGGGCTAGAAGGCAGTGAGCACATTAGCAAATGCAAGCAAGCGAAGGAAAGATGACGCAGAGTGGAGATGGCTGGGAAGCCAACTCGTTATAAGCAAGCATTAATCAACATTTATAGTCAGACTAAAATGAATGACAGACATGTGATAGGTAGGATAAGAAGTGTGCATACACGTACGCTCATATAAAAAAATAGTCAAGGTCAATAAGCGAATAATTAACAAGATCAAAACATGACTCATAAAGTTATAGGTGAATTGGCTTGTCCAGAAACTAGAATAAGCTATGTAGGTGTAATATAGTACACGACGTTACACTACTCCCCACAAATTACTTCAGTAGATATGGGTTTTACAACTTCCTGCCATAAAGTCCTGTCGTTGTTGCCTCAGTCCATTTTGTAATAAATTTATATCTGGGCTGTTATAAATTAGATCTTGAGTGAATGAAATTCAAAATGTTGTTAACTGTTAAATAAGACTGTTTGACAGAACAGCACCGAAAGAGTTTACATCAAAATTTCAAGTCAGTGATTTATAGAGCTGTTTAATGGAAGGATAGAGACAGCGCCTCCTGACAAATATTTCAAGAGATAGCGCGGTATTTTCTTCAGTTCTGTAGATGCTGGGGAGGACTACTTCAAGTGTCACTCTTCCTTCGATTCCATTATTAATTACCTTGATCTACATATACGTTTTCTAGAAGGAATAACTTACCTCTTCGTAATCACAACTACTCTATTACTACCGTGACACAGATCTCAAAGAGCAAGTAGTTTGCTAATTACAGATAGCAAGGACGCCAAGCGACTTCCTAGGAAACTCGACAGATTCTTAAGGACTAAGGATAACATCTCAAAGTGATATACCAATTTCTTTTTCCTATTTTATCGTCAATATGCCTAGTTTACTGCTTAAATGTATTGATGATCCACTGCTACCAGACATGGAAGCCCGTTAAGCCAAAGCTTCTTCTATTCCGTCCACAATCATTGAAACCATATTAAGGTTTGAGATTTGAACACTTGGACATTGAAAGCCAAAGTCCGGCGTGGCGGGACTGTACAAAATTGCAAGGTTCAAACCTGATAATGGACCAGAGTCTTGAGGATATTATCCAACAGAAGCGCATCAGAGTAACTAGAGGTAGAGGTCGTGGACGCGGTCGCGGTGGCGAATCTTTGCGAGGTGTCCGTCGTGGTGGAGTTGCGCGACGAAACACAAATGGATTGGTATACATGTAAAATAATTATTCATTCTTTAGTCACGAGCCTTACCTGACAAATGGCAGCACGATATGTTCCAAGATGGTCGTAGCCCCAAAGGATCTGTTAATACAGGTGGAAATGCTACGAGGCTGCACATTTCAAACCTGGACTTCGGTGTTAACAATGACGATATAAATGTATGTATCTGAGCTATTAATAATCCTGTAGGAACTTTTTCGGGAGTTTGGTGCAATTCGGAAGGCTACCGTCCATTATGACAGGAGTGGTCGTTCTCTTGGCACCGCAGAAGTCGTATTTGTGAACCCTCTTAGTGCAACTAAAGCCAAAAATCACTACAATGGTGTACCCCTTGATGGACGTCCAATGGTCATTCAGTTGGTCGGTGCAGGTTAGTCAACACTCAGTCAGCCACGTCGACCAGGAAATCACTTCCGTAGCAACTGTTGACTTCGTTACCATTCAGTGATGTTCCACCTTCTTTGGGAAGATAGTGCTTCCATACTGACGTGCTGCCAGTATATGTTTTTGTTGTTTTCTATTGCTGGAATGTCTAAATCTTATAATTCGTGGTGTTACCAACTATGGAGCAAATCCACTTACTCTCGGGGATTTCCGTCTGCATCATTTTCAAATGGTTGGACATTGGCGAGGAACGTAGTGGAATTCTCCGTTGTCTCGAGGTTCTGGTATTACCATAATCATGGGCAGGGAGGTTTCCTTAGTTTTTCTTTGTTTTGTGGGTGTGATTGGGTGTTGTCACATGAGAACACTTGATGCCTACCATATCATGTGTTCTGCAGAAATTTCTGCCAGAAGTGTAAAGGATAATTGAGCCTAAAGTTTTATATTGGTACTAACGAACCTGAACCATGCATATAATGAACTGAAGTTAAATTTCATTTCAATAATAATGGCAACAGTTTTGATGTTATTAAAGACTCACTAATTGACGCGTATTTTATTCCTCAAGCTGTTGAAACTGCTGTAACATCACGTCCTCGTGTTACTCGCCCTCGTGGTTCACCGCTTCGTCGGGGTTTCGGACGTGGTCGAGGTCGTGCACGTGGTCGCGGAAGAATTCAGAAACCTACAGTTACTAAGGAAGAATTAGACGCACAATTGGCTGCTTATAATGCCCAGGTAATTCGTACACCATTATTACTAATTTTCCAAGTTTGACTCCTAAGAATGTAAACCTGCTTCAATTTGTCCTGGTTTATCTGACTCATTAAGCATCTAGACGAAAGTAGCTGTTTAGTTGTTATCTGCCAATTATTCTTCTAATTATAAGCGCCTAAACGAGTGCAGAATAGGTTATCCCTTACATGGGTCCTGAAGTGTTATTACTGTGGTTACACTTGAGCTGGAAACATGGACATTAGTGCGAGTACTCGGTTCCCAAGTGATGATATGCAACTTGACCAGGGCTTTGGATTCTCTCCATACCTGATAATTATCTATCTAGACGTCAGGAAAATGTAATTTACTAGGTATATGATTGATGCTTCCCTGTTGGGTTCGTAAAGTTCAAATTCTCTTGTCGATCAGTACGTAGTGAAATGATTTAAGAAGTCCTTCAAGTATATTATGTTATCGATGCAGTTGTCATATATCTCGATCCACTGATCGATCTGAGTCATGTTAAAAGGTAGACTACTCGGTTGGTACTTTATACTTGTAATCAATGGCCGTAGATGCTAACTGACATGATCCTAAAACCAGTCGTAGTTTCGAAGCTGCATTCGTTCCCTGTCCTCCAAATCATTGGTTAAGTATCATCCCTAGATGTCCAGTCCAACTATTAAGATGTTACTACGTAAGTTTGGCTTAGAGTTAAAACACGATCTTGTTCTAATTTGTTTGTTAATTATTTACTTAGAACTTTCACATTCTTTGTTTAGCTCTGTTTTCAAATTTTACTGTGTTATCTGTTACGTGGTAGGGCTATTTTTCAAAATTACTGGTTTATCGCTTTGGTGCAATCTACTTGCTTCAGTTTCAAAGTTGCCCACAACAACTAAATCTGCGCTTTTAGAAGCCTATGCAACTTCCAGTTGAAGTATTCTCGTAAAGCGCACGAAAAATCTGCCTTTCGCGTCTTTACAATGCTATTTAGTACAGAATATTGATAACTGCTGATTAATACTCAGTGAATCGTAAGCAAATGTTCATTGAGTCAACTTTCCATACTTCGCAGCATAGCAGTTGAAAGAGTACAAACCAGAGTAGTCCAAAAAACGGGTGGTGGAGAATCAAATAGACAGCTTGTTTGGATGTGCGTTTACCACCTAATTCAACAAAGTTCGCTGTCTCACTAGTTTATTTGTTGTCTCTACACAATGTTATACAACTTTACCCGGCATTATTTACGTAGCGGTTAAAGGAAATATAACCAATGCTTTAAAGGGATTCTTAATCTAATATAGACAATCTACATACTTTTTGTAGGTCATTTCAGTCCCAAAGTAATGCCAATCTAAATGCTCCGTATACTCGCTCTTTGATTTTACATGTTCTTAAACTCCGAGCGAATTCATATTAGTGCTGCGATTTATTTACTCTTGGATATTGAGAAGGGTTCCACAATAAGTATGTCAATGAATGTGTATTCCTTCCTAAACGCGGCTAGCGTCAATGCATCATTATCCACTAAAAGGGAATAAAAGCCATACAGAGCATTCTCTTATTTAAAAGTTTGAATTTCATCACAACCAAACAAGAACTTGTTATTTGTTTACTAAGCTGAGGAGAGCTGGTTATGTGGCTGATTTCTAAGCAGAGTTACCTCTAGAGACGCTATATCCAAAGATCTCTAGAATTCAGGTATCAGGATCTGATACTTTTTCGCCTCAAAACTCATTCAGGTTGTCGGTGGATAATAAGACTCTACAATGAGTAGTTACAGCTTAGTTAAACTGTTTCTCATGGCATCGCGCAAATGTTTTAGCAATAGTTTTGTTAATAATCAAATTTTCATTCTACTCTGGCAAGTATAAAGAGTTGTGTGCTAATGCTTGTCTTCCCTACCTTTCCACTTTTTTGTCTTTCTCCACCACTACTTAGACAATTTTTAAATCTAACGTAAAGTCGCCCCCGCTCATAATCGTCCTTAAGGCTAGACAGAATAACTTAACTCAGTAAACTTTAGCATCTCAGTCTTCTGGTTAAATTTACAGTAACAGTTCTCAGTGTCTTTTTGTGTGAATGAGGAGAGTAAAAGTGTATTGGTCTCGATTATTATAGGAATAGTTTTGAATTTGTTGCAAACATTAGTACATCTAAACCTTGTCATACGACAAACACCTCTATGTTTTTCTTAATAAGGCAGGTTTGTTTGTATTTCATCTGTTTAGTACAACCATTTCTTTTAATTAATAACATTAAGAATGTGATCACTGTCCGACACATACATCGCGTACTTGTGTTTATACAGTATACATGTATCTAGTTCATTTTACGAAGAACTGATGGTCCATTATTAGCTCGTTACTAGTTTCTCTCGTGCATTGACCTTCAATGTCTCTTCATACTGAACTGTATCTTTCTTTCGTTCTATTTTCAGCGCGCTTGATCCTTTCTCACAATCCCTTGTTTTTGGAGTAGACTCAACAAAGTCTGTCAACTCTCCAAATCTCTTGTTCCCATTTGATGTATGTCTTTGAGTCCATATGAAAAATAAAACAATTTATCATATAAAAGTTTGGTTTTTAGTATTTTATATTATCACTACCGGTAGGACAACAAAAAGAGGAACAATAATTTTTTTGTCAAATACTCAAAATTTCTCGGAACGAAAAGTATTAGTTGTTAGGTGTTTGTCATTGTTGCGGTGTGACATTTCATTTCTAGAAAAAATTCACCACAACTATGTTACGAACACCATTATGTGGTTTTTGTGGATTGCACTGTTCGACCTTTAGAAGTAATTATAACAACAGCTGTTTCGTGCGATCGTCTCATAGGTGTAGTGTGACTGCTCATATTCAGTTGACACTGAGATTCTTCCGACGTACTACTGTCAGGCGATAAAGTTGCATCAGGTAACTGATTGTCTTGTAAATTTATAAATCCATTTGGATCTAATTAAAATATAAGATTCAATAGTTACATATCTTAGGTATGGCTAAAAGATTTATATCAAAATAAAATGAATAACATATTTGCTCTTTTAGGCGGTCAGTTAGAAACAGCATACCAAGTTTCACTTGAAACCAACGGAAATCGTATGTAATCTACATACCCAATAAAAATCACTCATTCACTAGGGTTTCTTGGAAATGTGACGAGCTCGTATTAAGCGAAACCAACTTAGATTTAACATGTATTTCGAAAGGTAACCGCTTCACAAGGTGAACTTGCTTCTCTGTAGCGAGATATATGATTATGATAAGACTTAAAATTGTCGAAAAAGGACAGCAGCTTTTCTCGACTGGTCATACCACATAGGTTTTCCGTAAGACATAGTCAGTGTTTCATATTTTCCATCAGTGGCAAAAGTGATTATCACTACTGTGGCCAGCTTGCTGTGCTCTCAGAACCGGGTAGGTGATGTCTGTTTGATTGGAGACTGGGTGATATGACTCAGAATAGTTCTTAGTGGTGCTTGTTTATTTACTCTCTATCTTAGGGCATGGAGCTTTTGCGTACTAATCTAACTACCTTCGCCTAATCTTTTCTGTTACCATTAGTATTGTTACTGCCTCTGCTGCTCTAATATTTCCCCAGACAACTTAATCACGCTACGCTAGTGGGGTGTTGTAACCTGAACACGTATGCTAGGTTCTATATTGCGTATGACAAACTGTCGTTTGTTCCGGTTGCTTTGTAAGGACAGTGTATTTATTTTCAAGAAGTTGAAAAGCCTATCAACAAATACAAACCTTATAGGTTTTTTACTTGGTATATAGTGCAGGAGGGAGAGAATCCATTTGAAATGAAGCTGGCTGTATGCTGTCTAGGGATTCTGTAACACCGCTAGCAGTCAAATTTCTAGAATACTGCCATTTATATTCTAAAGAGTAATCCATTCAAAGCTAGTCGCGTTCTACGAATCATTTCTACTTGTCCACTCGAGGCGGCAGGACAGTTTACCATATTCCATACGTTGATAATTATATGCATATGATTTTAGTTCTGATTAGACTCATTGCATGGTAAAGGCGGACAGTCTAGGCTTATGCTCTACAAACGGGTATAACCCCACTACCAGTAGGCTATCTGCTGCCTCAATCTATATTTAGCACACTATTTTGTCCGGAGCTAACATTAAGCGATTATTTTTAGTAATTTATTCCCATCGTTACACATTTTAACTTGCAGTCCACTTGTCTTGACGGAGCATTTATTTCATTTACCAGTAATTAGTCTAATCATCATGTAAAATTATTCACTTTGTATACAGAGTACATTTTACATTTTAAACTGGAAAATTTGCTCGCTACACAGTATGAGAAACATCTTGACGTTCGGGAATAATTCTTTAACTCTGAGTGCCTGTTTTCTACAAGCAGACTAATCTATGCCTTTAATTGTTTGACAGACACATCACATACCATCTCTGGATCAGTTAGTGAGTGAGAAGTGGTAATTGGAGCCTGGTTTCGGAAAAAGGTGACTATATATTTGGCTAAGGTATCAGCCTACATGCCTCAGAAGTCAGAAAGACTAATATGCACCTAAACTTTTGTATATTTTATTCCGCTTTGCTAAAAACAGTTACTTCTCAGTCTTCTTAAATGGGTGTCTATATTTGATTTAACCAATGGAATTAAGTTATCGAATAAGCAAGTAGGCGGGCAGATGATGATATCATTGCAAAATAGATAATCTGTGCTTGGATGTGCCCGATCATCGGCTAATTTGATGTGCAATCGTTGCTAGCATGAAAATAGGTTAGAAGAAAAGTCAAGAGCAACCGAGACAATATATAGAACTTATCCGTGCTGTCACTGACAGTTGTTTTTAATCGTACCAAGGTGTGAATATTTCGTTTATAGAATTGACATCCTAAACGTAATCTATCGTTATAGTTCAAAATCATCAGTAATTTAGATGTATTCATTATTTGTCTTCCTAGGAATGGTAGTGAACGAAATACAAGAAGCTTTGACTTTATGAGCTCCCGTCTTGAGTTGCAGTAGGTCAGCGATACCTATTTCACTGTTATAAATGTTAAATTTAATGCTTTTTTTTTGAAATAATATCGCCTGTTTCAAAGCGATAATATTTTCTCGTTGTTGATGTTAAGGGCTGTAAGTAGTATCTTGAGTCGATTGCCCTTTAGTCAAAAAAGTGTTTTTAATTTACGAGTACCTGATGAATGAATAAACTTGATTTCATCTGTGACGAATACAATCTACAAATAGCAAAGATTGTTTACTATGTTGGTAAGTATTTAGAGCTTACTAGTTTTATTGTAGAACAGAGCGTTTTGCTATCAATCTTTGCTTTTTTTACTACAGATTTGTAACAAGGTGACGTTTCTCATAATTGTTTACGAAATCAAGAACTGTAATTGACTGATCTTTCCATTTCTTACGTTTATCAATAATATTCATATAAAATATCCTATCCTCGATTGACAGTATTTAAAGTAGTGTCAAAACTTTCGCTCATAAAAATCTTATGCTTGTGCAATATTGAGCGGCCTATGCTACTCCGCGTGGGGCAACAGGTGTAAGTAAGTAAAAATTGTGCAATACTTACATGTAATTTTATTTCTATACAAGAATATTATACAAATCTGAACTTACCTTCAACTCGTTCAACAATAGAATCATCCACTTCTGAAGACTGTTCGGTATTTCCATTTGTCTGCTCATCCAGTTCATCATCGTCCTCTTCGTCATCCTCCTCCACATCATCATCATCATGATAGCATAAATATTCATTTCTATAACTCATATCATTCCATGATGCATTTTTTCGCACGATACTACCACCAGCATTGCCATCTCTAGTTTTTACATTTGTTAAAGTTCCATCAATTACTGAATAACTAGATGGGAAATGATATTTACTATTACTACTTAATTTACAATTACATTGAAAAATGTCACTGGAACTTTCGAATAAATGTAGATTTTCAAAAATTGGTTTGCAGATAGTATTATTAATATTAGTAGTGCTTGTGATAAGACTATGGGTTGTCGGTGAACTATTCTTCCTAGCAACATTATTATTCAGTAATTCTCGGGAAATTGAATCTTGATCAATATTAGCCGAGTCCGATTCGTAATATTTCATTCGTTTTGCTGATTTTCTTATTGTTTTCATCGGATCCATAGATTGGTCTATTCCTCTTGGTAATATTTTAGATTTGAATTTAGAATTCTGTTGACGTAAATCATTCCCATCACTAGTTGTTTCACTTTCATTATCGTTTTGTGAAATACAAGACGACGACTCATCACCACCATGGTGACAATTTTGTTTCTGGTTATCCCGTTGTTTCTGATTTGGTATTATTATCCAATTCGATGGTGGTGATGATGATGGTAATGCTGTTGATGGAGGTACTACTACTTGTGGGTGGTATAGTTTTGTATGGTGATATCGTTGTACATTACTCATAATATTATTAGTAGTTGATGTGACAGGTGTTACTGATACTGTTGTTGTTGTCGGCTTCATCATCGTCATATTAGTTAATGATGGTAGAACATGTTTAGTCTCTTTTTTAGATAATTTATAGTGATGAGGATAATTTTCATTTTCCATATCTAACAGTTCACCGTTTGTAAATTGACTTAATTTATTTAAAGTGAATAATTCCCGTGGAGTTGAGTGAGGTTCTTGTGTATATTGTGATAAATCTTTCTGAGGTATACCAATTCGTTGGTGTAATGGAATGTTGCGTAGCTGTGATTGTTCTTGAAACTTGAAAATATTAAAAGCGGAAAAGCATTTACTATTCAACTAACTGTAAACAATCTGTCCAGAAAATATATGAACTGAACTACTAAAGTTGTCAGTACTGGACATAACAAGACGAATGACTTATAGGATTATGCGTAAACACCCATCTTGAATTAGTAGCCTATCGTGTATGTGTGTTACTTTACTACTAATGACTAACTAGCCGTTACATTAGGACAGTCTACTTGAAGATTCATCAATTATTGTAAGAATCTTGTCCTCACTTCTGTCACTGCTATAGATTGTTCCCTATTAATTTACCATCTCAGCCCTTTACAGTTCTATTTTGTTATTGAAACGTAAAATAACCACTTACAGAAAGGCACTGGGGCAATAAAGATAGTGAGACGTGAAACGATATGGCTACTAAAAAGAATTTACTAGACACACTATCTAACACTAGATTTTATAGAATCCTCTTACAACTAATGCCATTTAAAGTTTTCAGGTAAAGTTTAAGCGTTATAACCTTGACTGTCAATAATCGTAGTGGATTAGCTTTGAGATGATACCTTAGGCTTTGTACACTAATCACCCTGATAGCCTTTTTTAAATAAATCCTAACGGTGTATAGATTCAGAAAGAAACACGAACTTCCGACTACAATATTTTGTCGAAAAACACAGATCGATAAGCCACGAACGAATTTGAGCAGATAAGCCAGTGCATGCGAGCGGGCGAATACAAAGATGAATCAAGAGTCGAATCAATAAGATTTAAGGATATATATTTATATGTATCGGAAGCGATAAGGAACGGAGATGATCGTTGAAAAAA